GCGACTAATTTCAAATGAAAATAGCCTTTAAAATGGCTATGGTTGAAAGTATGAAGGTCGCAACCCGCCTTAGAAATTTCACCTTTACTATCAACAGCTGTTGTTTGACAGGTCGTTAGAGAATGTTTGCAATTTATGGAATGTTGATAATGTTAGGAATGTTGACGTTAGAAACAATTGGAATTTCTAAAATTGTCCCATAAGAAATGCATAGGTGGATTTTAAGAAAGTTAATATTTAAGTAGTTAGGATGAACTGAAAATTTTGAAAATCAATAGGGTTCTAAGTTAGAAGTAATTATTCAAGAAAATCAAAACCGTAAGTCAATCAGAACTTTCGTTCTAGAGTTATTGTGCCGGCATACATACACATAGACGACCAGACGAAAAATTTTTTTTTTCATTTTCATACTCAGAATTATCGGAAACATGAAAAAAAGTTTTAAAAAATGGGGGTAAGAAAATGTTTTCGTCTGCACGAATGCAATACTGAGGCTTCATAGGAAGGGCCTCAGTAATATAAAATACCTATAAATATAATAATAATAATAATAATAATAATAATAATAATAATAATAATAATAATACTCTCCCTAATTCACCCCTTTACGAGTGAATTTTAACCCCAAAAGCTAAGCTTGTGCGGGGAAAGGGACTATTATTATTATTTGCCGTGTAACTCCGGGGCGACTTAAAAATGATTGATGGTGCCATTTGACTTACAGGTGCGGAAAATAGTAAACAGAACTAAACTTGTATGGGTGATAAATCCCTTTCAACCATGCAAGACAGCTGGACCTGATGGTATAATTCCGGCACTTCTACAAAAGGACCAGGAAGTACTGGAGGGACCACTTAGTAAACTATTCCGAGTTGTCCTCAGATATGTTCCATAGAGCTGAAGGTCTGCAAGAGTTGGCTTCATAACTAAACCTGGGAAAGCGTCTTACGCGGAGACCAAATCTTTCAGATCAATCAGCCTAACATTATTTTTCCTAAAAACTTTGGAGGAATTGATCGATAGATATTATGGGACTATTTTTACGGGATAACCGGATACATCGATACCGGTTTACCTTCCAATCTAGTCAATATTGCGATGCAATCATATAAATGCTAGCTTAAAAGGCTCAAAAGGCATAAAAAAGCAAATAAATAGCACTAAGAGTCTTCCTAGATATAGAAGGTACCCTTGATTGGGCCTCCTACAATTTAATACTTGGATCTATGCTTAGACGTGGCGTAGCACGCTGCAATACGCAGTGGGTTGAGTTCATGCTCAATCATTGAATCATTACCGGTTATCTCTTTAACACAATAAGATAGTTGTCAGTTAACAAGGGATGTCTGTAGGGAGGAGTTTTATCTCCATTTATGTGGACCTTGCTGGTTGATAACCTCTTATGGGAGTTACAGAGATAAAAATTATATACGGAAGCAACTGCAGACTAAATAAGCATTGTAGTAAAAGGTAAATTTGGCACTGTTGTTTTCTAAAGGATGCAGCACAGACACTAAATATCATCGATAGATGGTGCCTAAAAGAGGGATTGTCCAAAAACCCGACAACAACCTCTGTTTTTGCATTCACAAGAAAAAGGAACCTTCAAGGAATGAAGGAGCTTTAAATGTGGGGGCAACATCTACAAATGGCAAAGGAGGTTAAATATTTTGGAATCACTCTTGATGACAAACAAGCTTAGCTTCTGGAGTCATATAGAAAATTTAACCGAAAAAGCTGCTAGAATATTATGGAATTGTAGACGGATGGTACGGTTTATACCAAGTATGATGCACTGGCTTTATACCATAGTTGTAGCACCTAATATTCATGATTTTAGGAAACCTTTCGATATTCAAATACCAGAAAGGGCCAAAAACCGGTAAAATAGAGAAATTGTAACGAGCATTTTGATACACGTTAGGGTAGTTTTTTTCGTACTTTTATATTAAATATTCAAACATAGGGAAGATAATAAATATTGGTAATATCGTTAAGATTTTTGTTTCGTATTTTTATATTCAATATTTAAAGGTATTTCTCGAATTCACCTTGTACAGTGACTTTATTTAGATTCCATGTAGAGATAATCGTCTGCGCAACGATGAAGCGGCACATCGTCAGAGGCTGGGAAAAAGAATAAAAGCTCTGGTATACCAAAAGATGGGATCTGTTCATTTTAAAAATTCATTCAACCTCTGCCTTTCCTCTTTTAGTTTTGAAGAGTTGCATTATAACCAAAGTGAGGTTTTCGAGTGGTGTTTCAATATTTAGAGATAGGTAATGTATGAATCTTTATATTTATTGTTCTTAAGGTAAATTGTTGGCGAAATGCGACATTAGAGCGTTTTTTCCCAGACAGCACACGACGTCCATTGGACGTCCATATTTTGTCCAAATAATGTCCTGGATGTCCATGAACTTTATATGGATGTCCATTGGACTTATGAACTTATGAAAAGATGTTTTGTTTCCATAATTTCTCATATCCTCTCAAAAGAATTCGCATAATATGATGGTATGAAAGTAAAATGGTAATTTAAAGAAATAATGAGCAGTTTTTTGTTTATATGTATAGAGGTAAAGTACATTAGTCAATGTATATTTTCATATTAGTTAATAACATTTTATCTAAAAGTTTTACATTTTTAACTATCAGTTTTGCCTGATCAAGCGTGTATTAAACGATTGATTTAAGACTCAATATTCGTAAAAAATGTAGTCTTTTTTTAGCTGCTGCTGAGAGTGACAATGGTGCTGCTTAAAAAGTAAGCGAAATAGCCTTAAGAAAATGGCTGAGAAGGTCAACAGAAAGGAGTGCGTATAAAACTAATACATGCTTGATATTATTTATGACAATAAAAAGTCCATAGTTGCAATTATTTTATTTAATATTAATATAGGTGGTGACGTCCGTCAGATGTCCATAAATTGTCCAAAAGCGATACAAAAAGAGTCCATATATGGACCTTTCATGGAGTCCAAATGGACGTCCAGGAGTAGGACATTTGTATAGTCCAGTGGATATCCATTGGATGTCCTTCGGTAAAATGCTGGACGTCCTTTGGACAGCCGATATGTCCATGAATGGACTTCCGATGGACATCCAATGGATTGACTTGTGCTGTCTGGGTTATTGCTTAAGGGTATTTGTTGCAGGAATTTAGTGGTTAGGTAATGTATAATACACTAATTTATGTTTATATCGTTGGTTATAGGTTGATATTATTAATTGAAAAATAAAGTTTTTACTATTTCGAGTATTTCTTTTTTTCTTTTCGAGAAAAAGCCATTTTACGTATTAACTCATGCAACGGATTTTAACCTTTATTGCCTCGTAATTTGAAGTGGGTTCTTTTCCAAATAAATTTAATCCGAGCATGGAATACTGTTTCAAAAAATACGTTAAATGAGAAGTCTGTTTACGTTTTCATCTATTTTATCATTTTTACGTATAAATCGTGTTATTGTAATTCAGTTATTTAGGTGATTTTAATAGTATCATTTAAAAAAATTTAATTCGCAAGCGTATCCTAGTCCTAAACCTTTTATTAATCTGACTCAACGGGATATAGGGATACGGATAATTTGCGTAAACGGATATGTAGCGTGACCGGTACGAGAAGACATGAAGAGTGCGTTTGTGTTGAAGTGCATTTGTGTTGAGGTATTGGATACATTTTGGAAAAATAATTATTTTTTTAAAGTTATTTGAAAAGGTATTCTTGAAAAAGGAAAAGCTTTTCTCTGATATATCACTCAACCTACGTTGCCATTTTAAAAAAAATCAAGATGGCGGTGGTACGCTAAACACTGGCGTCATATAAATTTGACATGTCCTCCGAAAAATGCAGAATATAATTCCTACAATTTCATATTCGTTCCAAAAAAATTGCCTTGTTTCCAGACTTTTTCGCCATCCCATATATACGTTGGTGAAGTTCTTAGATAAGTGAAGTTAGTATTCTAATTTTTAATTTACACTTTGATTTTGATTTTGATATTTAAATGAATCGTGGGTAATGAAAAGGTCACAGGATAAACGAAAAATATTTTAAGTGTGATAAAACTTATTTTATTTAAATATAACTATTTACAAAAAACTATAAATACATTATACAATATTCCATATAAAAGTGATTTATATATTCTCATAAAAAAATGAGAGAAAAAATATCATGTTTCATCCCACAACAGAGTATTGATCAAAAAATAAAAATAAATACAATAACGAAGATGAGAAATTGTAATAGTAAAAGGAGGAATGTGAATATAAAAATAAAGGTAAAGTAAAACGAGTGTTAATAGACGATAGAAAAAATCTAGTCAAAGCTGGTATAAAAAAAAATAAATAAAAATATGCAGTAGAAGCTAAAATAAAGAAACACGATTAAATAAATCAACAATGAAATAATTTAAGTAGTAAATAGTAAATGAAAGAAAATAAAATTATTAAAGAAATGAAAATGTAGTAGGAGTAGAAAAGGTAAATATAAAATAAGAGATTGATTTGAACTGAAAATCTAAATGAAAATATTAAAAAGAAATTAAATACTAGGTTATTTTAAAAAGGCTATTAAAGGGATAAAAAAATATCAATAGTAAAAGCATAACACTTGCTTTAAAGTAAAGAAAAAGGATATGATAAAAAATACGATGATGCAAATAAAGAAAAATTTCCAAAATAATAAAATAATTCAATAAAAATCTAATAAAAAGAGATTTAAAAAAACAGAAAAAAAATGCGCAAATGACAAAAAAAAGAAAATGAGCAAATGACAAAAAAAAAAGAAAACCTAAAGAAAAAAAAAAGAAAAAAAAAAGAAAAGAAAAAAAGAAAAAAGAAAAAAAGAAAAAAATATCAAAAGTATTCAAATATTTATTAAAAAAATTCACAGAAAAATAGTCAAATTCAATAAAAATATTTACAAACAATATAAAAATAATTATTCGTTGTTGTGGAATGAAATTTTATACATTTTTGAGCTTTATTTATTGGTGTTTTAAAAATGTGTTCAATGTGTTACTGCTGTTAAAATATAAAAATAAAAATGTCGGTAAAACAAATAAAAATAATAAGTTCGGTATTTACAATAATGTAGGTAAACATGATTTAAAAATTAAATAATTTTTTTTATTTTAAAATAACGCAACCATCTTTTTAAAGTTTTTAAAATTATATAATGGTACATATTTTTCTAAATTCTTTATTTTTTAGTGACTTATTTATATTCAAATGTATTTAAAGAAAAAATACATTTTATCAGCCTGTAGGAAGAACTAGATCTAGAGTTGGCAAGCAAAAATAAACAACTGCTAAAATAAAAATGGAGGAAAAATAGTATCAAAGCTGTAAAATCTAGTAACAAAACTTAGAAAGTTAAAATAAAATGTATGTATTTTAGATTAATCTTAATAAATTCAATTTTGAAGATCTACCGATAAAATAGGCCTAAGCTCAAGCCTTGTTTTTAACAGAATCAAGAACAGCTAATATATGAGCAATGGGTAGTAATAGGCATGAATCCCAGCCGTTCTTAATAAAGTCAGGATCAGTTTGTCTACTCATAATTTAATACCTTTAAATATAAAGAAATCACTATATTCTCAGTTTCAAATAATTGTGACTCATGTGCTTTTTGAAATATCCAAGTCAGTTGTGATGTGCTATAATTTTATTAAAAATGTATTTACGATACTATGTATAAATGCAACATGGTTGAATAACTATTTTTGAAAAATTATTTAATATTTACTTTCATAATTTATGCGAGCCTATTCATCAATATAAATTCAAGATAATCGTAACCTTGTGCCTATATAGTTTCAATATTATGACTATTGAATTTTAACGAGCCTCTGATTTTTGTCATTGAACACAGTCTATGAATTTTCACTCAAATAATAATATTGCATTAACTTGGTGGTGGCGCTGGTGTGAATTGCGAACAACTCTCCACATTTTCTGGCCAATCACAGACGTTCTGGTCGGGATTGAAGACTAGGTTTGCTGGACAAGGCATGTGATGTTTTCTTTCTCCTTCGCACATGTAGTACATCTTGCAGTCTGCCTTGTCAGGGTGATAACTAATGTGACCTTCTTCCTCTTCGCAAGTTACTTCAATAGCTAAAATGATAAAAAAATACTATCTACAAGCTGGACTAGATGAATTATGTTTAAGGCATAAATATTTACACAAGCAGGTATAGATGAATAGATAGATATATACGAGATGAAATATTGAGCCGAAATCCTCTCAGCGGCCGTCAATATGCATATCAGCCAGGCAAGTCAACCGATTTGGCCCAGAATGATCTCAACAGGCTATTGTCAAAATCCCTGAAGGATAAAGAAATGGCAGTAGCAACTTTCGTAGATATTAAGGGAGCTTTTAATAATGCCCAAACAAGATCTATAATTAAGGCACTAGCAATGAAAGGGGTACCAGTAGTCCTATGTCAGTGGATAAAAGTCAGCCTAGAAGAAACAGTAATAACATCATCTCAAGGCGAAGCTACACTGACAGCTGAAGCAGGCAGGCGCTGCCCCCAGGGTGGAGTACTATCATCCCTCATCTGGTCAGTCCTAGTGGACGAACTCATAAAATGGCTAATATCTGCATAATTCTACTGCCTAGGTAATGCCGATGACTTGGCGATCGTCGCAAGAGGCAAGTTTGCAGGTACAATATCGGAGCGCATGCAAACTGCTTTAAATATTGTTGACGAGTGGTGCAGTGAGAGGGAACTAACAGTAAACCCTCACAGAACCACTATAGTCAACTTCACAAAACGAAAGTACCGACAGGACTAAAATCATCAGTACTGAAAGGAGTGAAGATTCCATTTACTCAAGAGGCCAAATACTTGGGAGTCATCTTTGACCACAGGTTAACATAGAATAAACACTTGCAAAAAGTCACCCAAAAGAGCACAACATCCTTCAACTTATATTGAAGGTTGTGTGAAAAAAATGGAGACTACAACCGAAAATGTCCCTATGGTTATTTGCCAGAGTCATAAGGCCGGTGTTATGGTGGCCAAAGACTCGGAAAACTGGAATAATTCGACAGTTCAATGGTAATCAAAGGCAGACATGCCTGAATACCACGAGAGGCATAAGAACGACTCCAACAGCAGCTGTAGAAGTCATGCCAAACCTACCACTACTACATATATTCATTGAAGGCGAAGCTGCGAAGCCAGGTGTGTCACATACAGTCTGCACAAAGGTTTATCGTCCATGAGCAGTTTGCATGGACACGAGCTATATAAAGAGTTGGAGAACGACCAAATAACGGGAATGTCTTCAGTAAAAATGCTCCCAAAATGCTTTTCAAAGCAATATAAAGTAAGTATACCAGACAGGAAAGCGTGGATGGGAAGTCCTCTTATACATGCAGAATTCACTTAGTATACAGACGGCTCCAAGTGAAAGACAAGAATTTCACTGAGCTTAGGTATTAAGACAGAAGGTAAATGGTAAAACTATTGTCATATACTCAGACAGTCAAGCTACGTTAAAAGAACTCAGTTCTTTGCAGATACACTCAAAGCTTATGTGGGACTGTTTGGAAGCCCTAACAGAGCTGGTTAGTCAAAACAGACTAATCTTAGCCTGGGTACCAGACAACAGAAGACTTAAGGGCAACAAAGAGGCTGAATTACTAGCCCGACAAGAAGCCTTAAAGGCTCTTATTGGCCCAGAACCTTTATGTGGTATCACAAAGACAACTATCAGTACATGCACAAAGCAGTGGATATTTAAAAAGTATCAGGAGTGATGGAAAAACTCACCAGGACAGAGACAGGCCAAAGAGTTCTTAGAGGGACCATCACCTAATCTAACCGAGCATCTACTAAGACTTAATAGGAAAAACACTAGAGTACTAGTAAGTCTATTAACAGAGCATTGTAGGCTTAACAAACGTATGTATAATATCGACCTGACAGAAGAAACCTTGTGCCGATTCTGTCAGGAAGAGGAGAAAACGGCAGAACACGTGTTGTGCTACTGCGAAGGTTCAGAAAAACTGAGATTCCTTACACTTGGAGAAGAAAAACCAAGGGCAATATTATCTACAAGCTGGACTAGATGTATTAAGTTTAAGGAATATATAATTACACAAGCGCGGATTCCGATTATATTAAAAAACCACAAACAAGATGGTAATAACGAAATCTACATTAAAATTTTTGTCTTCATTACAAAATTTAACTAACATGAGTATTTCCGATAAAATATCTTGTAATAGTTGTATTTCGAGAGAAATTATGAAAAATAAATAAAATACTTACGATTTTTGGTTGTATACTGTCCTGAAGATACAGACGTTTCATAAGGACCGCTGAACTCAAGTTTAACTTTGTATCCTTCGAGCTCTTGTCTCATAGCGTTAATAAGAGGATATTTTCCGCTACCACAAGAACCTCTGAAGTCGTCCATATCTACAGACCAGATCATGATGCCTCCGAAACCTTCTTCTTTCAACCAAGCCATCTAAAAATCATCAAAATATAAATTATTTATATCTGGTTGGATCATTCTTATAGATTGAAAGTCAACTAAATTATAAACCTATTGTACCTTAGTTTTAAGACTCCTTTCATCATCAAATCCTACCCATTGATTTTCTCTATAGGCAAATGGCACTTGCTGTTCGTTATCCCACACTAAAGTTGTGTTGTCCTCATGCAGGAAGTCGCATACTTCATAGTAGCTCATAAATCCTGCTTCTGAAGTGTATTTTCCAGATATACCTCCACCGCTAGCTGGTGCTCCAATATCAAACTGGGAAGCGTTTACTAGTTCAAAACTACGTCCGTAGGTTGGCATTCCTATCATTAACTTTTCTTTTGGTGCTCCCTGCTTCACCCACTCACGAGCTGAGTAATCCTAAGGTAATATTGAGCAAGATATTAAAAACCAAAATTATTAAAAAAAGCAACAATTTGATGTGTATCCCGTAATAGTATGAGGTCACTATTTAGATATACTATGTAACCAAATTATTTTAATTTATTACACTGACATGTTTATAAATCACTAAATAATCTTGAAAATAATAGTAATAAAATGAAGGTTAACACTAACCTAACCTCCAATTTTTTCATTATTTATTTATCATTTTACATAATTGGTTACTAAAATTAATTTAGGAATAATATTTTTAAAACTGACATCAATTAAATGAAATAATGAAATTTCAAAAACTAGTAAGTAGGTACATACTGAACTCAACTTCTCTATTTGTTGCTTGAACAAATACAAAATCTTGAGGACCATGAAATTTCGATTGACAAAGCGATATGTTATTTAAAATTGAAATTATTGAAAGATTTTTTGATGTTCTTTCTTAATTACGTACCACTGTTAGTTTCTTTTGATATTTGGAAGCACTTTCCAATGGGAACAATGGTGCATTGTGTCCAACCGTTCGTTCCCACTGTCCATGGAAATCATAAGTCATTACATTGATAAAGTCCAAATATTTGGAAATCTCTGGAACGTCATAACCAGCAGCTATAGCTTCAAAGGAAGCAGGTACAGCTGCTGTAAGCAGTAACCTGGGCTGACCACTGCTTTTAGCTTCACCTACGAATGATTATAAATATTAAATTTAATACAAAATACTAACAATAAGTTAATTATTTTACCTTCAAAAGCGACTCTCAGTTCTCTCAACAGATTGACATAAGCAATTCGGTCATCTGCTCCTCTTGGATACTCCCAATCTACATCCAAACCGTTAAATTTAAATTCTCTCAAAAATTCTATAGACTCATAAACGAACTGATTCATCCTAAATACGTTTCCTGTAAGTTCCTTAAATGGAGTTGAACCAAAAGCCCATCCACCGATGGCTAACAATATCTAAAAATAAATGAAATAAATTGACGATACTTCTAATAAAAGTTGTTAAGTATTTTATATTTTAATAAGAAATTTTAAGTCGTTGTAAATGCCCTACTTTTAAATCCGGATTCTTCTCTCTAAGCTCAATTACTCTTTCATACATTTCAGGATCTTTGCTGTTGGCTTCTGCAAGTTTATGATCTTTAATAGTTGCAAATGCATAAACGATGTGCGTACAAAGTGCAGGATTAATATCTTCTGGTGTGAATTTTCCTGCTCCAGGTCTCTTATATGACCAATTGGTCATGTAACAAAATACTTGAGGTTTGCGAACTAAAACAGATAAGAAATAAGTCAAGAGCTTCGAAAGTTGTATATGTTTCTTTATTTAAAGGTTTTGGTATGTTATTGTTGTAATAGTACCTTTCTTGTTTACTTTTTTTGCTAAACTTGAGCCTCCTTTTTTACTATTTGGTTTTCTGACGCGTTTCAATACTTCAGATACAGCAATTTTAATAGGCTTGGGTTTCTCTTCGTCTTCGTTTTCTTCGTCTTCGTCTTCATCACTTTCGTCGGCTCCAGCGATTGCCTCCCAATCGACATCTTTCACATCTTTTCCTCTAGTAATGCCTCTTAATTCTTCCCTATAAAAAAATGTTAAAAACATTATTTTGTTTTATACATATTATTACATAAATTTACTCATTAATGTAAATACTCAAATACGCATTTTTGAAACAAATTAAAGTCTACACCGCTTTTGAAATTAAGAGTCTGGTTTGTATTAGTTTTAAAATTACGTAGAATAGAGGAATAAAATAAAACATATGGATCATAGGAACGTTTAACTAAAAAGGGGAAAGAAAATCATCTAGGTATCCTGTTTCAATTCATAAACGTATATTATTATATTAACTAAGGTACAAGCTAAAGGATCAATATCCAAAGCCAAAAAAAAAAAAAAAAAAAAAAAAAACTAAGGTACATAAAAAGACAGGTTTTCATGCACTTCATGTGTTGTTCCTTCGACGATACAACGAAGGTAGCTGGATAACAGATGGAAAATTAAATAGAAGGCCTGAAAATCGAGTATGAATCGAATCTATACAATTAGTATACAGGTGGCTCTGGTAATCTAGTAGGTTATGTCCTTGGGACGGTAATCCATAGGTGACAAGTTCTAAGCTTGGATAAAACATTTCAATTTCGGTCTGGTTTGTTTTCACTCCTCAAAATGCAGGAAAATTATTTACTTATTTATTATTATATTGCATTATCCCTAGTATCATCATTAAAACACTGTGTTTATTTGAGTTTTAAAATGGTTTTAATATGGTAAACAAGAATTTACCTTGTAAATATATTGCGGACACTTAAAAGCTGTTTAGCATTTAATACTGGTTTTAAAGTATTTGTTGTGTATGTTTTTGAAAGAATATGACTGGACTATTAATTATTTAACGCGTTCAAAGAGTGCGAGTTGTCACACATGACATAGAGCATGGAACCAAACCCACAACCTATGTATGTTTTTGTTTTATCGTTGTTGTTAAGTTAGTTGTCTTTTTATGAATGAAAGAAAAGGTTCTGTCAAAAAAGGAGAATAAAGTTTCATATAATTTTATTGCGTTATTTATACACAAATATAAAAGTGGTGTCAGAAGTGGGATTGAGAGTATATAGTGTTCCTGCACCAACTTAGTGATCACCAACGATGCCAGCCACTCCGACAGTTACTCCTGAACTACTTCAGACTTTCTCCAGCATGATAGCTAACGCAATCCAAGCCTCCACGACTAATGTTACCACAGAAGCCGCTGTCACAGCAGCATTGCCGCGCCCGCCTCCGTTCGCCATGGGATCGTATCGTTCCACCGATGGAACCATGATCAGCGACTATTTCATGCGCTTCTCCTGGGCACTTGAGCTGAGCAAAATTCCAGAAGACAAACACGCAAGTTACGCACGTGTCTTTATGGGGCCCGAGCTTAATGACGCACTGAAGTTTTTGGTGAGTCCTGTTGATCCAGAAACACTTACTTACAATGAAATAAGATCGAAACTGATACGCCACTTCGATTCAACTCGAAATAAATTCGCCGAAAGTATAAAGTTTCGACAGATCAGACAAAATAAAGGGGAAACTATTGCCAACTTCTCGTTGAGGTTAAGGCAGGCCGCCGTGTATTGCGAATATGATACATTTCTCGACCGGATGTTGATAGAACAACTACTATTGGGTCTGGAATCTCGAGAAATTTGTGACGAAATAATTTCGAAGAAACCGACATCATTCACAGACGCGTACGAAATTGCACATGCGCTGGAAGTCATGCGCAATACAGCAGATGAGGTAAATACCACACAAGCGAAGACCGAGCTTACAAACAAAATTGGATACGAGAAACCGCTATCGCGTAAGAACTGGAATCAACAAGGGCGAAAGAAAGTATACGGACAACAGGAAGCAGCTGACAACCAATTTCAGCACAATGACAGAACCCAGGATAACCAGTACACATGTGCAGGATGTGGTGAGACACACCCTCGTAGTCAATGTAGATTCTTGAACAGCAAATGTAACAAATGCGGAAAGAAAGGACATATCGCCAGGGTATGTAAGTCCAGAAAAACTAAAAATACGAACCAGCTCACCGAGGAAGAACTTGCTTCCGGAGAGATCAACGATGAAATCGACTTAGTACAACGGTTAAGTAAACTTGAAATCATCGGCTCAGTACCATCACCAGGACGACAGATACTGACAGTCCAGATAGAGGACAGTACAGTCAAAATGGAACTTGATACAGGCGCTCCTTGCTCAATTATAAGCAAACATAATCTTGACAAAATTGATCATGTTTTTAATTTACAGAAGACAGACCGAAACTTTTCCAGTTACACGGGCCATCGGATCAATTGTATCGGTCGTGTCTGTGTCAACGTCACCATTGGAGCAACCACGAAGGCGCTCAATCTCTATGTAGTGAATGAAGAATTCGACACGCTTCTGGGCCGAGAATGGATCGCAGAATTTGTGCACGAAATAGACTTTGAGGGCCTGTTCACCAAGCCAACCCCAGTGCACCAAATATCCACCACAGAAGTTCCGAAAGCCCTCACCGTCGACCAAGAGAAACAGCTGGACCATTTACTAACCAAATATGATGATTTATTTGGAGAAACCCCTGGCAAACTGACAGGTCCTCCAGCGAAAATGAAGTTAAAACCAGGAGCTATGCCAGTCTTCTCCCGAGCGCGGGAAGTACCGCTCGCCTTACGAGATGCATACGCCAAAGAAATCGATGCTAAAATTGCCTCAGGATTTTACAATCGAGTCGACTACTCGGAATGGGCCTCAACTACCCACATTGTTGCCAAGAAAAACGGTAAATTAAGAATCACCGGCAACTACAAGCCAACACTGAACCCAAGAATCATAATTGACGAACATCCGATCCCAAAAGTGGAGCATCTCTTCAACAAGTTGAGAGGCGCAACCCTATTCTGCCACCTGGACATCGTCGACGCTTATACGCACCTAGAAGTTGATGAAGAATTTAGTCACGCGTTAACGCTAAATACTCCCACCCATGAACTCGTTAGACCAACACGCGCGGTGTATGGAGCAGCAAATATCCCCGCTATTTGGCAGCGACGCATGAACACAGTTCTCCAGGATCTACCCAATGTCGTCAATTTCTTTGATGACATCATCGTCTACGCGGATCGATTTGATAACCTGCTGCAGGCACTAACGTCAACTCTGGAGCGTTTTAGGATACATGGATTAAGACTCAACCGTTCAAAATGCTCTTTCGCAAAAACAGTCCTAGAAGCCTTGGGCCACAAGGTCGACGTAAATGGGATACATAAATCGGATGGACACATTCAAGCGGTACGAGATGCTCTGAAGCCATCGACACCGGAGGAACTGCAACTTTTTCTTGGCAAGGCAACATATTACAGCTCTTTCATCCCCGACCTGTCAACAAGGGAACGTCCTCTTCGAGATATGCTCCTCAAGGACCCCTTTGCATGGACTTCAGCTAGTACAGAGGCCTACCTGGACATCAAGAAGATTTTGATCTCGCCACAAGTCCTGATGCAGTACGATCCGTCACTTCCGTTGCTGTTGGAAACAGACGCAAGCAGTACGGGATTGGGGGCAGTCCTATCTCACCGACTCAGTAATGGACAGGAACGTCCAATTGCATGCGCAAGTCGAACGATGTCGGCTGCGGAAAAAAGGTACCCTCAAATAGATAAAGAAGCACTCGCCATCGTTTGGGCTGTAAAAAAGTTCTTCAACTACTTCTATGCTCGCCATTTCACGCTGATCACAGACCATAAACCGCTGACACAGATCCTACACCCGGAAAAGTCACTCCCGGTGCTCTGCATTAGTCGAATGGCCAACTACGCGGACTATTTGGCAAATTTCAACTTTGACGTGACTTTCAAAACGTCAAAAGCAAATGCGAACGCCGACTATTGTTCTCGGGTGCATGCAATGGTAACAGTTAGTACCATCTACTACAACTCGTCACGTAGGAGGGAGGAAGCAGAGAACTATGACGAGTTTGACCAATTTGTCGTACATCAAACTACACAGTTACCAGTCCGAGCAGAGACCATCGCACGGGAGACCCGGAGAGATCAACATCTTGGTAACATCACCAAACTATTGGAATCGGGACAGGACCTTGTTCGTCATGGATTTAAAGCTCCAGAAGCTAAGTATACGCTCGCGGCAAATTGCTTATTATTTGAGCACCGAGTTGTTATACCGCCAATACTACGGGACGCTATCATCCAGGATCTGCATGCTGCCCACATCGGCATCGTCAAAATGAAAGGGCTGGCTCGCTCGTTTGGTTTTTGGCCAGGTATCGATGCAGACATCGAACGTGCCGCCAAGTCTTGCATTGAATGTGCTAGATATGCAAATGCACCACCCAAATTTAGAGAACACCACTGGGAGTATCCCAAGGCACCATGGGAAAGGATTCATGTTGATTATGCGGGCCCAGTAGCCGGAAAAATGCTTCTGATCATCGTAGACGCCTACAGCAAGTGGCTGGAAGTGAAGCCTACTAAGGTGACGACGGCAATCGCAACTGTCAATATCTTAGACGACATCTTTGCCATGTACGGAGTACCAGTTACCATTGTATCCGATAATGGAACACAATTCACATCAGATGAACTCAAAACTTTCCTCCAAAAATCAGGCGTAAAGTTCCACAAACTGACTGCTCCGTACCACCCATCAACGAATGGACAAGCCGAGCGATATGTACAAACGGTAAAGGATGCCCTTCGAGCTATGGAAACAACAGAGAGTACCTTACAAACAAATCTGAACGAGTTTCTCCGTCAGTATCGCAAAGCCCCACACGCCACCACAGGCCAATCCCCGGCACAACTTTTCATAGGACGCAACCTGCGCACCCGCTTGGACTTGGTCCGACCAGAAGACACGCACACCAAAGTTATGCAGAAACAACGTGTCGAAATGGATTCTACATTTAGAATATTTCAGCCAGGACAATCCATTTATTTCTTGTCTGGCAACCCAAGGTTGGACAAATGGATTCCAGGTACTGTCATTACCCGCCTAGGAGATATCCATTACGAGATTCAGTATGGAGACAATAAAAAGGCGAAAAGACACATCGACCAAATTAGATGTTTCCCAGATCAAAAACCGCCAAGTGATCCTGAAGCTAACTCAAAACAACTAGAGACTACGCAACTACCAAGACGAGTACGCTTCTATGAGCTTACAGCACCTTCAAATAGTCCGGTTATAACAGCCTCCTCTGCAGCATCTCCTGGGGCACCAGCTGCTCCACTTACTCCGAGACAACAAAGGTCAGTTGTACCAGCGACACCAATTGTTCCAAAACAGCAAAGGATACCTGCGCCACATAATCCTCGCAGATCAAACCGGACGAGATTCCCACCATCCAGATTCTCGGCCAATTAATCACATACGCTTTAATTTTTAAAAGAGGGAAGAAATGTTGTGTATGTTTCTGAAAGAATATGACTGGACTATTAATTATTTAACGCGTTCAAAGAGTGCGAGTTGTCACACATGACATAGAGCATGGAACCAAACCCACAACCTATGTATGTTTTTGTTTTATCGTTGTTGTTAAGTTAGTTGTCTTTTTATGAATGAAAGAAAAGGTTCTGTCAAAAAAGGAGAATAAAGTTTCATATAATTTTATTGCGTTATTTATACACAAATATAAAAGTATTTAATAAAATTCGCTAATAAGAGTAATTAATCTTAAAAGTTTATTTGTCTTGCTGTAGTTTTAAAAGGGTTTCGTTTCAATTGACTTTAAAACTACTTTTATGAAGGACTTGCAGGTTGTTTGGTTTTAATATGTTCCAAATTGTGACATTATAGTTGTAATGTAGTTTTAAGGAGATTCTTAATGTAACTTATAAAACCTATTACTATATTGGGTCAGTTAATATTGCGTTTTAAAACTATTTCATTACTTTACCTTAAATGTAATTGGGTGACTGTAAACAATACAGACACAACAATTTTCAGTATTTTCGCTATATTCGCTATATTCTTACTAGTTTTGTTAATTTAACTGCGGCAAAACCAAAATAACCAAAGCTAATTTTGAAACGTCGACTGAGCGCTCCATTTTCCCACCTACATCATAAGAGCAAGTTACGCTCATCTGACTCACGTCCTAACAACTACAGAAGACAGCAGGTGAAGTCAATGAGGTGTTAAAAGATCGTTGGTGGAACAAGCGTAGTTCTTATGGTGTACGTTTTAAAATGCGCGCCCGGTCGACGTTTTGAAATTCGTGCGCGCGAATTTCGCTCGTTCCTTTTTCTAGTGATAAAACCGTTGGTGGGACTCTTATGGTGTAGGTGTAAAAAGAACGTGCACGGCCGACGTTTTTGAAATTGCGCGTGAGAATTTCGAATCGTCGGCCGGGCGCGCTCGCTCCTTTCTCTACTAGTAAGGCCGTCATTGAGACAAGTGTAGCGACCCTTATAGTGTAGCTCTAAAAAGGGCGCGTACTGCCGACGTTTCAAAACTCGCGCGCGCGAATTTCGAAACGTCAGACGGGCACTTTCTTATTTCCTCCAGTAGTAAGGCCGTTATTGGGACAAGCATAACTGTTTATTAAGGTGAAGATGTGAAAAAGGCACCGTCGTTCGCTTGCTCTTTCTTCTAGTGGTAAACCTGTTAATAGGACGCGCACAGCTAATTCTTATAGTGTAGGTGTAAAAAGGGCGCATTCGCTTTGCTCGCTCCTGCCTCTAGGCCCTAGGGGTAATGCTGTTAATGGAACGAACATAGCTGGCTGTTATAGTGTAAGTGTAAAAAGGGTGCGTACAAATTTCAAAACATCGGCCAGGCGTGCTCGCTTCTAAAGTAGTTGGGACGTGGTAGGACGAACGTGCTTTCATGGTGTAGGTATGTCAGGAAACGCTTTTGTTTTGTTTATGAAATAAATCAAATCATCAATGTAAATCAGTTAGAAATGTATCGGGTACTCCAAAATAACGAATGTATTGCTAATGGCTAATGGCTAATGGCTAATGGCTAATGGCTAATGGCTAATGGCTAATGGCTAATGGCTAATGGCTAATGGCTAATGGCTAATGGCTAATGGCTAATGGCTAATGGCTAATGGCTAATGGCTAATGGCTAATGGCTAATGGCTAATGGCTAATGGCTAATGGCTAATGGCTAATGGCTAATGGCTAATGGCTAATGGCTAATGGCTAATGGCTAATGGCTAATGGCTAATGGCTAATGGCTAATGGCTAATGGCTAATGGCTAATGGCTAATGGCTAATGGCTAATGGCTAATGGCTAATGGCTAATGGCTAATGGCTAATGGCTAATGGCTAATGGCTAATGGCTAATGGCTAATGGCTAATGGCTAATGGCTAATGGCTAATGGCTAATGGCTAATGGCTAATGGCTAATGGCTAATGGCTAATGGCACAATGTTGTTTTAACGGATTTATTTTAAATTTAATTTAGTACGAAAAACTATTTAAAAAATATATTATTTTGTAATTTATGAATATTTATCAATCCAGTATATTTCTTATTAAGCATGAAGGTGTATTTCTTATTAACTTATAACTTGATTTATTTCATGAAACTTTCATCAAAACTTTTTTTGTAAACTTATCAGGAATGTACATATTAATAAATTAAGTTACTTTTTGTTTACTCTGTATATAAATTTCGACTTTAATATGTTAAATTTCCTAAATATGTGTTCATTAAGATATTTTGAATATCTGAAATATCTTTTAGTTTAAAAATAAATAAAATAATTTAAAAATAAGGTGTATTGTTGTACGTTTTAAATGGAAAGGTTGAAAGTTTTCAGGAGTGACGTCACGTCGGTAGAAATTGAATAAATTCGGCTATCTTCTTTAGTTAATATAGTCATTGACTATGGTTGACAATTTATTTGTCAGACTAATTAAGAGCGCTTTCACACGAATATACTGTATACGAGATACGCGTATTTGAGATTCAGGCTGACCATACATTCAAATGGACCTATTCAAACGGTACGGGCGACGCATACAATATCGTGATACGGAATTTCTGTAGTCCGGCACCGTCAGCCGCGGACGCTGAATGCGTATGCCGCATACAGAATTACTATTAAGATTTAAGGACCTTTTCAGACATGGATACTTTTGCAACGGAGATTATATCATAGACGCAGGATTTTTCAATGGTAGGTAGGTATCCTGAGTGCATTTAGTTTGATAGTTTAATTTATTTGAGAAAATATTAAATTAGATGCACGAAGAGTTTTTTTTTAAATTATTTCACGAATAAAAAATTAGCCTAAACTATAGAATATTTATATTCCTTACCGTCTTTTCTACGCATGTTGTATGCCCAGTCTTTTAATATTAAAGTAGTGTACTCTACAGATGCATTTGCGTGTCAAACTCGTACATTTTTCTTGATAAAACAACATGAATTGGTTCCAAATTGATTTATGAGTTTTGACTGTATTAATTGGAATATTATTTCATTATCTATTGAAAATATTACAGGGATTACTTTTTCTTAATATACGGTGTTACACATAAAATGCGCATGGTATGGGATTTTTCTTTCTAAATGATGTAGATACATTTTGACTTTGCCATTTTTTGTTGCTTCAAAAATGATAACCAATAACATGCACATGGAAAAGCACGTGACTTGTAAATGTCAAAATTGACTTTTTTTTGTAAAAAAAAGCAAGAAAACCTATGCCTAAAAGTTACTTATTTTTTACCCATATACCAATTTTTAACTTTTTTTTTATTTTTTCTACCAATTCATTTTAAGGTTACTAGAATTTACGCTAACCTGCATAAAGTTTACGCGATGCGCCTCTTTTAAATGTTTTTTGTTAAAAAATATTTTATACAACTAAACTCCAGTAACCCAAAACTGAATTGGTAGAAAATAAAAACTTGACACGGGCTATATATGGGTAAAAAATTGTAAAATAAGCAACTTTTTGTTAAACAATTTTTCGAAATTGCCATTTTTGGAATTTTTAGAAAAAAATGTCATTTTAAACATTCAAAAAGGTCACGTGTATGTTCATTTGCATGTCATTCGTTATCATTTTTAAGGCAATAGAAGATGGCAAAGTAAAAATTTATCCACAAAAAAAGCCTATACGATGTGCATTTTATGTGGGTCACTGTATTATATACCTCAGTATAATGCACTTTTCTAGATTCTTAATTCAAACCTAGACACGCCACTGTGACCATTTTAGTACTTATGGTAGAGATGCGTGAATTCGATACAGCAGCCCAACTTTTCGACCGCAATTCTGTATCTCGGATACGCGTATCTGGCATACAGTATCCCCGTGTGAAAGAGCTCTTGTTTGAAAGTTTAAAAGCTTTTGGATAACTCAAAATAAATATTGTTTATTACTTTATAGATAAAGTAATACCTTTTAATATTTAGTTAATATGTACAATTAAATCAAAATGGATAAACGAATCACTGGATGTGATTGGAAATTAAACGTTAAGTTGTTTAGGAAAACCAACAAAATAAATTAATAAAACTAGTACTTTTTAAAAATAAGGTACTTTGTGGGGTTTCCGGTGGTATATTTGAAAAGTACTATTTTTCCTTATGCCTAAAATGTAGGTATAAAAAATTCGATTATTATGAAAAATATATATTCCCAATAATTACCTTTTTATGCGTGATATGAGCATTGTTAATTATTAATCTAGATTTTATTAAAAATTGAAACGTTTGGCAACCATGCATATGCCTTACACGAAAATCGAAAATCTTGAGTTAGAATCACCAAAATTCGCATGTTTTATTTATGTTATTTATTTATGTTATTTATTAATAATCCGCATTTTCTTATTATTATTTCATATATACACTTAATACTATTTTCTAGTTCGATTTTTGTTTTTCGAAATTAATTGTGTGTCCATTACGTTTACGAGCACCTAATGAGTTTTAATTGCAGTTTTATTCTACAGTTTAAAAGCATCCTTAAAGTACTGAATAATACCTTTCGGTGCTACTTGGGATAGTTCGCATTTAAAATCAACGTTCTAGCCCTGCTTACCTCATGGCACCTATCAAAGGATATTTCACTTCTCCTCCGCATATAGTACCGGTAAAATCGTCCATATCGACGGTCCAAACCATGGCTCCTCCAAGTCCATTCTCCTTGATCCATTTCATCTTATATCTGATGGATTTTTCATCATCGAAACCCACCCATTGGTCATCTTGTACGAGGTATGGAACTTTCATTTCATCGTCCCAATAGTAAGTGGCTCCATTCAGCAACATTTCACATATCTACAAAAATCCCAAATTACTAAATTTTTTAGAATCACGAAATAAACATTTTTTTACAGTTCTTATGTTAATATCTTTAGCATTTCAGTTTTCTTAATAATATTCTTGCAAGCTCTTTTATAATTAAAAAGGTAAGTATGCCACATATTATCATAAATATGCACATATGGAAAAATATGAAAATATTGCTTATGTGAAGGAAACACGAACTTGACAAAATACTTTGACAAGTGAGGATATTTTAAATGTCAGATCTTATTATTGACAAAAGGTTTTGCCAACCGAAAGTAATAACAGCGATGCACAGTTAATGCACAAGTTAAAATAATTTTATTTTACCTCATAGTAAGCTAAAAATCCACTCTCCTTAGAATAAGGACCTTCTTTTCCACCAGCACTACTAGGAGCATGAACTCCATGCTTACTTGGATCGGACAAAGTAAAAGATCTTCCGTAAGTAGGCATTCCGACTATTAATTTATCTTTTGGAGCACCCAATTTAGCCCACAAATTGACAGCATGTTCTACGTTTAATTGTTTTTGGTACTGACTGTCACTGCTTGGCGAGTGAAGTGGAGCATTATGACCAGTTTCTCTTTCCCATTTTCCGTGGAAATCGTATGCCATGACGTTAATGAAATCGAGATACGAGGCTACTGCTGGTACGTCATAGCCTCCTTTGATATTATCGGGACCGACTGGGACGGCGGCGGTGAGCAGTAGGCGGTTTTTCTTAATTTCTTGGGATTCAGCTTCGAATGCTTCTCTGAGTTCTAGAAATTAATTATGAATTATTATGGCAAAGTATTTAATAAATTTCAATTAAAATGCTTAGACCGAAAGAAAGACTAAAACAAAAATAAATTATCTTAAAACGTGATATGTAACTGAATTGTTGATTGAGAGTACGGATTGCCTTATAGCAGTTCAGCCTCATTAGGTCTATTATGCACCGTCCTGAGTCAATGAGATCTCTCTATAGATTACAACAACGTCGGCGAGAGGTGCCTTTCTTATGTTGGCTGGCGACAGCCAATACTCGCTAAATACAATTACGCAAATAGATAAGAGCATCGGGCAATCATAGAGGATTTGCTTGGTGGTCTCATTTTTATGTTTACACGCTTGTAAAATGTGGTGACTTCCGTACAATAACCGTGATAATTTCTGTAACTAGGCACTGATTCTGTTTAGTCATAGTCAAAAGTATTTGTTGTATGGTATGTTATCTGGGTAATTTTTTAGGTTGACTGCTGTATTTTAAGACCTCTTTTAGACGAGAATACTATATGTGTATATATGTGTATTCGTAATTCAGGTCGAACATATATTTAAATGGACTTATTCACACGGTACAGGCGACTCATACAACAGTATCGCGATACGGAATTTCTGTATCCCGAAGGCTGAATGCGTATGCCATATACAGAATTACTATTAAGATATATGGACGTTTTCAGACATGGATACTTTTGCAGCGGTCTCGTCTAGGTTGACGCTACCTAGACCTATGTATATCGAGTCTCTCGAGGTAACATAACCTAACTTTTTGAACTTTCTCAAACACAAACTATTTTTTCCTGTTTTATTATTCGTCCGAACAAAATCGTGTCGCCAGGTATAGTGTAAAACAATCTCGTGTGCAACCCCGCGTATGGGAGAGCCCTCTGGGCCAACCAAAACTAGGTACTAGAGTTTATACTCGCGACGGGTCCAACGATTTTTTTAAAAAAGTTTGGAGAAAGAACACCATCTGTTAAAAGACACCAACCCAAAACGGCCGGCAACGGAGAGCCAAGGCACCGTAGACGAACTGCTGCGATCAGATCCAAACGACAGTATGGAGAATCTTAGAAAAACAATTAAAGAATCTAATAGTGGATCTAGCAGCCTAGAAACAGACGATTTAGCCGATCTGTAGAAGATCAGGAATCGGACACACGATAAAAAATACTTTTGAGACAAAAAAAAAGAATGGAGAAAATTCAATAAATCTTCAAGACTTCTCAAAATTTTAATCGGCCTACAAAACTATTGCAATGCCAGGACACAATAATAAATTTTAGACAAAATAAGAATTCCTCAGGGGGGAATCATCACACAACAGCAAGGCACCTCCACCCCCGCCCCCAACCCCGATAATTTTACAAACTGCTGCAGAGAATTCAATATACTTCTCCAAAAGTGACTTAGGTTGTTTCTGAAATAAACGATTCAATTCAATTCCACAACTGTCAGGCGTGGGGGCACGCGCTACCGAAAATTGTGGTCGGCCCTCAAAGTGCCTAAAATGCACAGAAGCACACCATACCAGAACATGTATCAAGACCTGTGACACCATTTGTAACGTATCTTTTCTTTTATTCCAATTTAATCCTTAAATTGAAATTACATCTTCGATATCGTCTTCATTTTGATCAACCCTCGTATGCTCCTAAGATCTCGAATTAAACATTCCGTTAAACATGATAGGTGATGATTATTTTATAAATTGGTACACATCTTCAATACCATCAAACACTTGTCACTTAGTTGTCAACGTAGAAACTTCTAGCAAGTTTTCAAATTATCCACGTAGTAAATGAAGATGAATGATCTATAGTCCCTTTCATCTTTCTTTTCAAATGGTAGTCAATCACGGCACATAACAGAAATGGACAACAACTTGAACCGAAGATGACTTAAGCATGTCTTTAAAATTTATATTTCGTTATCCTCACCATACCAAAAAATTGCAAACAGTCTCTATCATAGTGCGAAAAACTTATCTGCAGGAAAGTTCTTCTTATATCTGACACAACTCTATATTTTTGTAATCTAAATCTTATCATAATTAAAGGTATTAACTATATTAAATTTAGTCCTTTATCTAAATATTGGTTTAGTGAAGGTTGATTTTTTTGGTGGACTGGGGCATCAAAAACGAGACGAGTCTTTGTAGTCTTACTACTTTATTTAACTACATGTCTGTGAGTAAGGTTATAATATATTATACAAGGGACATTAAAATTTTGACATTGTTAATGGCTTGATCACATTCTAATACTAACTAAAATTGTGGTCTATTAAGGGTAAGTAGTACTTAATTGCTATCTATATAGATGAGTATGTTCTTTCCGTAAAACGGGATAAAAATTAATTCAGTGTGTGCATAAGGTAAACATAATATAAAGCGGTTGAAAATTAGAAAATATTACAAAATATCGTTATTAACTATATATTATTTTCACATACTATAAATGTTCTCTTCGGAATATAGAGACCAGATGAATATCAATATAGATCATTAGTAATAATATTATGCAAATATATTCCCAGATCTATTTGGCAATGCCTGTCTGTTCCGCCCATGATTAATCTTAGTAATCGTTGTAAACAATAGTGAATTAAATGCATTAATGCCAGAACAATTTCCCCAGCACACTTTCTTCGACCTCGATTACCATAAAATAAATGGATAGCTTTTAACATTTTCTCTAGATCATTGAAGAATCTAATCTTTTATGTTTCTTATCTAGGATTCTTATTGTAGGCAAAATAATCTTTATTTAAAAAAACCATAGTTTTTTTATTGAGTTCATTGTTTAATAGTTTTTTTTTATTTATTATGAATTACGAAAATGAAAGTTGCATTGTTCCTTTTGCATCAGCGTTTTGCAAAATTAAAATTTATAATTAAATTAAAAAAAATCTGAAAACCTTAAGAATCTATTTGAATAAGGATAATTTCCTGACCGTAGCAGAATTTTATATAAATAAAAATTTCCTAGGTTTATTCGGTCGTTTTTATTTAAGCACAGCACTACATATGTTTCGGAAACAATTTTTTCCATCTTCGGGTGCGGTTAATATTTAATAATCGTCTCCAAGTTTTATTAAATATTGACTGCACCCGAAGATGAAAAAAAAAATGTTTCCGAAGCATATACAGGGTGTTAGAAAAAAAGTGCGACAAACTTCAGGGGGTGATTTAGCATGAAAAAATAATGACAGTTTGCTATATAAACATATGTTTGAAAATGCTTCGTTTTCCGAATACGAGGTGTTAAAGTTTTTCTTAAAAACTGAAGATTTGTTTATTGCTCTGAAACCGGTCAAGATATGCAAATGAAATTTGGTGGAATTTAAGAGGTAGTTATTCCGCATTTTTTGACATGCAATTAAGAATTTTATGTTCATCATTGGCGTGCATACGGGTAATGATCTCAATTCATTTAAAGAAAAAAATTGTACGCCACTGAGATATTTCAAATTAAAAATCATTTTTGAATTCCTCAATAAATTTGCCACAAAAAATATATCTGGCCTTTTTTTCGTGTGGGGCGCTGTTTTTATGCAAAAAAATAAAATATCTTAACGCGTATTTTCCATTTCTTTAATACATTATTATCTAATAGCGACGCTAGTACTAGTAGGCTATTGTCAATATTCTGTTAAATACGAATAGTTTAACGAAATGTCAAATTAGCGTTTCTTCATTATTAAGCTTTTAGTTTGGTATAACATTGATGTTAATAAGTATATAATTAACTTTTCTTTTGTCGAAAACAATGGAAAATTATACAAACGTGGAATTGTCAGACATGCATTTTGTCTATGGTCGAAGTAATGGAAATGGTCGGCAAAAACGACCATTGTATGCTGAGTTGTATGCAGGACGTAGGGTACTCCATCACACAATATTTGCTCGCCTTCACCAACGTTTGCGCGAAAATGGTACATTTAAGAAACAAACGGCTGACTGCGGGCGCCCTCGAGAAGTACGAACTGTGCAACTAGAAGAAGCAGTTCTCGAGTTAATTGCGTAGTCACCAGAAACAAGTACCCGAAAAATTGCCAACATATTTGGATAATTTTGTGTTTTAAATGCTATTATTTTCTCATTGATAATAATGTAACATTTTTACATTTAACGAATTTATTCATTTAATAAAAATACATGTGTGATTAGGATATAAATAGTTTATAACCGATTTGGGTAAAGTACCAAAGCTCTATATCTGGCTGATGTTCGATACGAAGTCGGGACTCGTTCGCGCACAGCACATAACTCAGTCCGCGATGCTGGCGCAATTTTAAAACGTTTGATGCGCGGTAAATTTAAATTATTCCGAAATTCACCATAGCCGGCGACCTTGAAAGTGTCCAGTACTTTCAATAAACAAAATAAAAAATATATATATATATACTTAAGACTATTAAAAAATAAAATAAATTGTCATTTTGATTAGTCAATAATTGGAAGTGGACAAAGTTTGTTTATAGCACGTTTTAAAATTCCACTTTGTGTTTTTACGTTCACTACCCGTACAATATTGTCATTCCCAGGAAACACTTCTGTAATTCGTCCAGTTTTCCACAGTAAAGGTGGTAGATTATCTTCCTTCAATAGAACTAAAGTTCCAATCATTGGAATGTCGCAGTTTTGTGTAGTCCATTTGTGACGCTGTTGAAGTTGATGTAGGTATTCTCTTGACCACCGGGACCATAAGTTTTGTGTCATGCGTAGAAGCCTTTGATAAAGTTTTAAGCGATTCTCAGGTATATGCTGTATATCCATTTCTGACACAGTGTTAAGTGGTTCTCCAATCAAAAAATGCCCAGGGGTAAGAGGTAATAAATCATTAGGATCATTGGATAAGGCTGCTATGGGTCTAGAATTTAGGATTGCTTCAACAGTTGTTAGGACAGTATAAAAACTTTCGTAATTTATTTTTGATTCACCAAGAATTCTAACTAAATGTACCTTCATTTGTTTTATTAAAGATTCCCA